ACTTAGAGAAAATAGAAAATCTGAACGCTTTTAAAAAATTCTTACCAGATAGAGAACCTTTTCAATAGGTACTATATTAAGAACCTTTTAAGGATCCTAGACTTTTCGACTAGAACTTTTTTTCTCTGAAAATTGTGAGCAAAAAGGTTCTAATTTGGAAGTCTAGACCCTCTAAAAGGTTTGATAAAATGATATTCATTGAGTAGATTTTGTATGATGTCTGCTTTTTTTTTTTTATAGAAAACGGTTCAATAAAAAAACGAATTTTTTTTAGGTCTTTAAATCCATTACTTGAAATATTTAATGAAAAAAGTTTGAACAAGGAAAGAATTAATATAATTAGATCATCTATGCTAGATAAAATAATTGATTTTTTAAAACCCATGGATTCATGTAATGAAACGTATTCAATCATTTCAAGTATCATCAATACATACGGTAACACCAAGTATATTTGTAATAAATTCCTCATTAGATATAAGCCAAGTGATTATAAATAAGAAAAAGGTCAATGATTACAATTTTCTTTATCTACTTCTACTAAATAACTTTTTTTTTATAGGTGTCGATTTTTTCCGTCAATGAGAATAACAAGTGATCAAAGAAATGATTTCTTTCGATTCCATACATCTCATGGGAACTTTCTTCAACCCTAAGACACAAAAAATGAAGCAGTTGTCAACAAAATAAAGAGAAGAATGTATTGAATACGTAAAAGAAGAACTGTTCCTTTTTGATGTTAATCAACATGTTAAATCATCTTCAAACGAGAAACCAGTTTCATTATCAACAAATGCTTTATTTCTAAATGTGACAGATTTTTATTTAAATGTAGAATTTGATGACGAAGATCATGCTGATCAATACGGTTCGTCAAAGTCTTCATCACATATAATCCGAATTGACTTGTATTTAAAGCATGGTGCAGATAAAACGCATCAGTGACGAATTCTGGTCAAGAAGATGAAGAATATTGTCTATCATCATTTTCGAAGAAGAAACATGCTTCTTATCCTATTTTGGTGAAAGCTACTGCTTGTGTTTTAGCTGTACCAGCTGCCAGTGCAGCAGTTGAACGCGAGTTCAGCTTTACTGATAATACTATTACACAAAAGCGCTCAAAATTGCCACCAGATTCAGGGAATGATATTGTTTTCAATCATTAACACTGTTACTTATGTACGTCGTCAACGTCTTGTTCAAGAGACGAAATCAAACAAAGAGATTGTTTGATTATATCCATCTTTATCAGTGATCGATTCAATCATTCTTAGAGCGTGTATGTTTTTGATCGACTAATAATTCATTGAAATATTGCTGAGTTTGAGCAATTCGTTCAAAGAAGCTGGCATAATCTTAATACCACATATACATTTATTTTATTTTTTTCATGAACAATTGATTCGTAAAATCAATCTTTGCTCTGATCCATTTACTGAAGGTAGTATTCAAGCATTAAAATCTTGTAAAACTGTAATTAAATCATGTGAGTAATGCATTGACTATTTTCAAATTATTCTATAATTTACATCGCTTAATTTTATCCTTGTTTATTGTAGGAAACAATTGATCCTTATCCAAGGATGCAATAAATATATTGCAATAAATTCACAAGCTAAACCTATGGCTTTTTTAATTGGATCATATGTATAAAATATTCAATACAAAATATCCAGGCAAGATTCGCGAAATGTTAAAGGTGTTGAATGATTTTTCCTTGAACAAATGATTATTTGCCTTATCATTGGCAGTTAAACCATTTTTAGATGAATATAAACTGAATAATCATGCACTATGAAGATACATTATTCTAGGTATAATGGTATGTAAGATAGAATTTCTCAAACTTATTAGTAGTTTTCAAACTGAATAGTCATAAAATTGAAGTTGATTTTCCAATGTTTCAAGAACACTTCAAGAGCTAAATTCAATGCGAGATTCTAGTAAGGCAACATTTTTGAATAAACAGTTTTCAAAGGATATTTAAGACTAGAATTCTTCTAATTAATTCCATCAAAAATAGTATTTTTTATGGCATACGATATCGAAAAAAATCCGGAATATTGAAGAAAATTTAGTTAATTCAAAAACAAAATGTCCGTAGGCGTTCATATGACAACCTTTGATACGAAATAAGCGTCTTATTTTTAGAATAGATGATTGTGTGCTTGTGTCATACATTATTTCTCTCTTTGTTGATTACAGTTTGAAATGATAAGATAATTAGATAAATGATCATTGAAGCTTTCAGGAAAAATGTGAATTGTATCAATCAAATGCGCAATAGTAATACCTTGTGAGATAAGGAATGAGAAAGAAAAAAAACTTGTGATGATCAAAAACGCTTTTTTTTCATATGCATGAGTATTGATGATATCAAAGAACAAAAGGATATTGAGCTATTTTTATTGTCATCGATTATTGGTAATAGAGTGTGTGACCATTTTCGAAGCTCATTATTAACTACAGAAAAGAATCATCTTTCAAAAAAATGCGTTTAGTCCTATCTATACTTTAAAATTGAGAAAGGTTAAAAGGATATTTTTCTTTTTTGCATTATCGTTTTTTTACTCTGTAAATAAAACAAAAGTAGGTTATTTTTTAATAAATACAAAATAAAAAAAATTAATACGTAAACAAAATATAATATGTTTAGACAAATATAGGTTATTTTTTTACTCATGCAATGACATACAAGGTCATATATAATCATATGAGATAGAGAGAAAAAAAAAGAAAGAATTCAAAAAGAAGTATATTTTTGTCCTTGGAAGAATATAGGTTGTCTATATTGTTAAAGACGTTGATGTGAGCTAATTGCTCAATGGTACCGTTTTTGCTGATACTAAGCTAGACGAAATGATAAAAATAACATTGAAGAAGATATTTAGAGCGTAGTATTAAACAAAAAATATCTGTTACATTTAAATAATAATTGCACTTCCGTGAATCAAATTATTTTTCATTTATTTTAAAATTATTTCAATACTGGTAGCGTAGACCACTACAGAGAACAGCAGTACCAAGTTCATACACATTAACTCAATCGGTGATCGATTTTATTGATTTCAAATGATTTACAACTTACTGATGCATCGTTTGATCAATGACCCATTAACTATTAGATAATTCTTCGATAAGTTCAACAATACTTCAATCAAGAAAAAAAAATTTGGAGCATATTGATAAAAGAAACAATAATAGTTATAAAATACTTCATCATAATGCAGTTAATACTTATGTTATTGATTTTTATCCAACATCGTTTGAATTTGATCGAATAATAGTTATCATCAGAAAAATATACCGCATTTAGTCAAATATTCAATGAACATATGTTATGTTTAAAACAAGATTGAATACATTTTCATCTTTACTTTATTTTTTTTTCTCATTTAAATATTTTTTTCATCAGTATTACAGAAATGAGTTAGAACCTTGGTATTGACAACATAAGCTACGATCACCAATTCTCATTTATGGTGAAAAAATCAGCTCTTAACTCCTTACAGTTCGATAAGGAGATCGGCATAAGAGGTGGGACACACTGAGTGTTGCACACTAGTGGATTCCATTAAGATGTAAATTTTTCAAAAACAACAAAAGATAGTAACTTGTGGTTTTCGACAATCGAAAACGAACAAATCAATAAGTCTTTTTATCGAGAAAGATTTGACTTGTGATGTTTATTGGCTTCATACTAGACTCAAAGGGGGTGGGACACATTTTTTTCGTGTTTTGCGGAACCATTGACAGAATGTCAAATTTCTCGAATATGACGTCAGCTAAAGTGAAAATAAGGTTATGCATAGATAGAGCATTCAAAAATAATATAATAAAACTAATTAAATATGCTGTACTTTTCGGTTTGAAGCCAAAAAAAAGGAAAGAAGAAAAGGCAAATACGAGGAACAATCATAAAAACACATGAAATAGGTCAAAAAAACTAGTTTATTTTTTGAACTATTTGCAAACAACAAGAGGTAGAAACCTGATTTTAGCAGCATAACTAGAGCATGATTGATAGATACTTTAGTATTAATTTCGATTGATTTGAGTAAATAAGAGCTGAGGTATAGACAAGGCCATTTTTGGTGGTCAAACAGTACAATAGATACCAGAATCACTCGTATGTATATCGTGAATGCATTGTTCAAGAGATGAAATCAATCAAAAGAATCATCGACCCTTATCTAGCTTTATCACTAACGAATCGGTAAGTCCTAGAATATATTTTGTTTTGATCAATTATAATGAGTCATTGAAATATTGCTGACTTTGAACAATTCGTTAAAATAAGCTTGCATAATCTCAAAATCACATAGAAGTTTATTTTTATTCTTTTTTATGAACAGCTGATTCGTAAAATCAAATCAATCTTCATTATGATTTATTTGGCGACGATATAGTTCAAGCATTAAAATCTAGTTGTACAAAATTATTCGGATATTTAGATCATCAAACAAAAAAATATATTTCTGAAGGTAATACATTATACTAAGCTATATATAGTATTTTCTTTATTTTAGGAGAACAACCGATCTTCATATTGAAAAGGTTGATTGTGAAACATTACAAACACTCCAAAAAACTGTTATTAAATCATATTATTAATCAATGAACATGTAAATCATTGTATAATTTTCATCACTTATTTTTATTATTGCTTATTTTAGGAAGCAATTGAAACCTATCCGATCATACAAATAAAATTAATTTCAAACATTAAAAATTAATCTTTGTATAATTTTTTCTCAATTCTCTTAAAATTAACTATTTGTTAGTTCTATTGATAGTAGTTCTAGTATTTTTTTTGCACCGGATTGTAACTATTTCTATTTCTTTCGCATTATTTATTTTAAACGTGGAATGAAATGAATAAAAGAAAGTGAATTGTATAACGCAAAATTGATTTTTGAATTTTTTTTGAAAATGTTCGTTTTGCGAGAAGTCCTTTAAAACTATCAATTCATAATATTTGACGAAGAAATAACATACCTGAAACTATAGTGAGACATACTAGTGTTAAAAGATGTTACTGTACAGGGTGGCCCAAAAGTCATGTTACCGAGAAAAAAAATTGAGTATCTCCATTACGGCTTGACAAACTGGACTCATTCCTTTTACCAAGGATAGAGGCATGTTCACACTCGAAATCCATACGGATAAGATTAGTGAGAACCTTTGTCAAGTATCACTATTGACCTCAACAAGAAAATTTTACTTTTTCATAGGTAGGAAAAAGTAGTACACAGGATGGTGCAAAAGTCATTTTATCGAGAAGAAAATTGAATACCGCTATTACGGCTCGACAAAACGGACTCATTTTTTTACCAAGGATCGAGGCATGTTCACACTTCAAATTCATATGGATAAGGTTAGTGAGAACCTTTGTTATGTGTATTACTTTCTTTTCCTATCTGTGAAAAAGTAAAATTTTCTTGTTGAGGTCAATAGTGATACTTGACAAAGGTTCTCACTAATCTTATCCGTATGGATTTCGAGTGTGAACATGCCTCTATCCTTGGTAAAAAAAAATGAGTCCGGTTTGTCAAGCCGTAATGGAGATACTTAATTTTTTTCCCGGTAACATGACTTTTGGATCACCCTGTATGATGATACGATGTTACTTTCGTTATTATTCATTTTTCTTATCCTTTTTGATTTTCTCTCTTTGTTCGTCTCCTCTCTATTGTTGTTGTTTTTATTTTTGTTATTATTATTGGGATATAACAATGATTGCACTTTTGAATGAGCAAGGGTCATCAGCGCAACTTTAATATTTTGTCGATTCTGTACAATGATAATAAAGAAAAAAATATGTTATTATGTGATAAAATGCACATTCTGGCAAACATTCAAATGACTGTTCATTGCTGTCGATTAATCTACGGGAACGACGAGGAGAATAGAGCAAGCAGAATGACTGTAATATTTGTATAAAATGAATGATATGCGTGACATATATTTCACGCTCTATTAATTTAAATATAGACCAGTACATTCAAAAATCAAACGTATTTTGCGATATATATATAGATAGATAGATAGACAGCATATTGCTTTATTCTCATTCAACAAACAACGTCGATAAATTAAAATACTATTCTGCTGGCGAACAGAAAATATTTCGTACGAACTTAACAAGTAAGTGCATATTGTTTGA